CTGTGAGTTGGAGGCCAGCCTGGTCTACAAGAGCTAGTTCCAGGACAGCCTCCAAAGCCACAGAGAAACCCTGTCTCGAAAAAACAAAAACAAAAACAAAAACAAAACAATAAAGAGGAACTATCAATGTACTCAACAACTTGAATGGACTTCAAACACATTGTTATTCCCAGTTTTTTTTAATTTTCAATTTAAAATATTTTACTATTACTTATATATACATGTATATGTTTGCTTGAATTATGGGCAGTTGTGAGCTGCCAGATATGGGTGCTGCGATTTGAACTCAGGTCCTCTGAAAGAACAATATGTACTCTTAACCACTGAACCATCACTCAAACCCCTTTATTTATTTATTTTTGAGACAGGGTCTGTCTATGTAGCCAGGCCTGTCCTGGAACTTGCTATGTAAGTCAGACTGGCCTCAAAATCACAGAGATCTGCCAGCCTCAGCCTTCTGAGTGCTGGGAAGGGCATGTACCAATGCACTGAGCTTCCAGTTTTTTAGAAAAGCCAACTCAGGCCAGGGAGATGGCTTAGCTGGTAAGGACACACGCTGTGTGGGACTGAAAACCAAAGTACAATTCCAGAGACCATGGTGGAGGGGGAGCTGACTCCCAAAAATTGTTTACTGACTTCCCCTGACTTCCCACACATGTTATAACATATAAACCCACATGAACATAAACACTAGATAACATATATATATATATATATATATATATATATATATATGGTAGATAGACAGACAGACAGATAGATGGGGAGAGAGAGAGATCAGTACTCCTGAGGCAGAAGCAGGCAGGTCTCTTGAGGTCCAGCTTGGTCTACATGGAAAGTTCCAGGCCACCCAGGACTACACAGTATGGCCTTGCCTTAAAAAAGAAAAGTCCACCTCTTTGAGATAGTATTTCTCATTTCTTATTAGCCTGAAGCTCATCAAGTAGGCTAGACTTGTGGCCAGAAAGCCCCAATGATTCTCATCTCCACTTCCTCAGTACTAGGATTATAAATACGTGTCATACACCTTGTCATTTTTAAAAATAAGTGCTGGGATCAAACTTGGGTCCTTATGTTTGCAAGGGAAGTGCTTCATTGACTGAACCATCTTTCTTGGTCCCTGTAGACTTTATTATTACTTGCACTGTGCTGATGCTAATTTTGAGGTTTGACAATGAGGAAAAATTGCATTAAATGTCATCACTGGGGGAAGCTGATGGGGACATGGCCTTTCTTTGTAATTACTGCAAGTGTATTATTAACTTCAAGTTAAAAATTCAATTAAAAACATCTGTGGGCCTGGAGAGATGGCTCAGTGGTTGAGACTACTGGCCACTCTTGTAAAGGATTCAAGTTTAATTCTCGCCCAACACCCACATGGTAGATTACAACAGTCTTTAACTCCAATTTCAGGGGATCAAATGCCCTCTTCTAGCCTCTGCAGGCACTGGCATGGCTATGATGCACAGACATATACCCAGGCTATATATATTTAAAGTTTAAGAATTATTTGCACTGGGGATATAGCTACTGATAGAGTCAGGCCTGCCTAACATACAGGAAGATGGATTCCATATCCAAGAGGGAAGTAGAGGTCAGAGGATTGGGAATTCAATCAATGTCATGTTCAACTACAGAGTAAATTCAAAGTCAGCCTGGACTACCCGTGACCATATCTCAAAAAAAAGAAGAAAAAAAAAAAAGAGGTAGATCAGGCTGCTCTTGAACTCACAGGCTGCCCTTGCTGTCCTTGAACTCATAGAGATCTGCCTGTTTTGTTTCACCAAGGCTAGAATTAAAGGTGTGTGTGTGTGTGTGTGTGTGTGTGTGTGTGTGTGTGTGTGTGTGGTTTGTATGCCACATGTGTACAGTGCCTGAGGCCAGAAGAGGGAATCAGATCTCTTGGAACTAGAGGCTACAGGTAATCATGAGGCACCCAACCTGAGAGATAAGAAATGAATGGGTTTTTTAGAAGAGTAGCAAGGACCAGTGAGCCGTCTCTCTTGTCCTCAGCCCTCCTTTCAAGGTATGAGGAAGGCTTATGACTTGCTTCAAACTGGCAGATTATGGCAAAGGCAATGCGATGGACTCCATGCTACACTATGAGCCAGCATGCCCAGGTACAGTTAACTTTGTCTCTGTAACTCATTCCCAGTGTCTGGTTGTCTCCTGGGCCCACCCCTTTTATTTTAATCCAATCCTGGATTTTTTCTCCATGACTCGGTCACCTTTTCTAGGCGGGTCTCCAATTCTGACACTTCAGCTTCCACCAGCTCAATTGAGGCTCTGGGAAAGGAGGGACAGGGTCATGAGAACAGAGCTTACATCCATTGGGGCCTCTACTTATCATCAAGGTGGGGGGTTGGAGTCATGGGGCGGTGGGTACAGACAAATGAGAATGTCCACCCACCCCACGCCCGTTATAGCTCATGTGCTACTGTGCACATTGTAAGCTTCACTAACTCAGACCAGAGCAGGAAGTGTCAGGAGGGTGGATGTGGCCAGGGCAGGAAGTTGCTAACCGCTCCAGGGCAGGTGCTGGGGGAGGGGTTCCAGTGAGAAGGAAGAAGAAACGCCAATTATAAAGGCCAGATGATACAGACAGGCAGAGCAGAAGGACTTTGGAGAGCATAGAGGTTTTGTTTTTTTTGTAATTTGTTTTTAAAGGGTTTCACTCTGTAGCCCAGGTTAATCTGGAACTCACAGCAGTTTTCCCGCCTCAGCCTCCCAAGTGCTGGGATTACAGGCATGAGGCACCAGGCCTGGGTTGAACGGCAGATGCACCATTTCCTTCCAGTTCCCCCCTGTCTTTTCTGGGCCTAGGCTCTATGGGAAGTCCAGCCTGGGGAATGATATATTTGTCAGGGTATGTGGAACCTTCCTTCCCCTCCTTAGCCTGATGGACCTGTACACACTTACCGGAAGCGGGGTGAGTCCTTGAGACATTCTTCAAAATCTAGCTTGACCGTCATCTCAGATGACCTGCTTTGGCCCAGGGACCCTGGAAGCCAGGCAGCTGGGGATGTAGATGGATGCACTCCCCACCCCCCAGGAGGGGTGTTGGTGAGGAAGAGGAGGTCGTCTAGTAGGTAGGGCCTGGGTCTGCAATTCTTTCCCCAAAGGGAAAGGGGTGACCCAGGAGGAGCTCTCACCCTATTACTTGTAGGCAGCGCTGGGAGGGGCAGGGGTGGGGCCTAGGTGGAGATCAGAGAAACCATAGCCCCGCCCCAGAAACTGCTGTCACTGTCCTTCTGGGACCCTGGTCTTTCTCTGCTGCTTTCTCCTTTGGTGAATAAATCTTTTGAGGGGAGGTATGATAATCTAGAGTCAAATGATGTCTCTGTCACTTAAGAATTTGTTCGGGCGTTGGTGGAGCACGCCTTTAATCCCAGCACTCGGGAGGCAGAGGCAGGCGGATCTCTGTGAGTTCGAGGCCAGCCTGGTCTACAAAGTGAGTTCCAGGACAGCCTCCAAAGCCACAGAGAAACCCTGTCTCGAAAAACCAAAAAAAAAAAAAAAAAAAAAAAAGAATTTGTGTAATGCAGCCGGGCGTTGGTGGTGCACGCCTTCAATCCCAGCACTAGGGAGGCAGAGGCAGGCAGATCTCTGTGAGTTCGAGACCAGCCTGGACTACCAAGCGAGTTCCAGGACGGCCTCCAAAGAGCCACAGAGAAAACCTGTCTCGGAAAAAAAAAAAAAAAAAAGAAAGAATTTGTGTGATTAGTAGTGGCACATGGCTTTAATTACAGCAGAGACAGGCAGATCTCTGTGAGGTCAAGGCCAGTATGGTCTACATAGCAAGTTACAGGTCAACCAGGGCTACATAGTGAGACCCTGTCTAGGAAAAAAAGTTGTGTGACCCAGAACAAGTTCTCTGATCCTTCAGTTACCTCATCTGAGAGAGAACCCTGTAACAAGGTCAGGTATGGTGGTGCATGCCTTAATCCAGTACTTGGTAAATTGTGTATGGGGGGGTTGTTTGTTGTCTTTCACGATAGGATTTCTTTGTGTAGCCTTTGGCTGTCTCTGTAGACCAGGCTGGCCTGGAACTCAAAGATCCACCTGCTTCTGCTTCCTGAGTGCTGGGATTAAAAAAAGTGAGTTAATTGTATCAGATATTGCCATCCTGTTGCAAGCTTGGGCCTTTTCAAGATCCTAGGTTTTTTTTTTTTTTTTTTTTTTCGAGACAGGGTTTCTCTGTAGCTTTGGAGGCTGTCCTGGAACTAGCTCTTGTAGACCAGGCTGGCCTCCAACTCACAGAGATCCGCCTGCCTCTGCCTCCCTAGTGCTGGGATTAAAGGCGTGTGCCACCAACGCCCGGCTTCAAGATCCTAGGTTTTGACAGGCAGTAATGGCGCACGCCTTTGATCCTAGCACTGGAGAGGCAGAGGCAGGTGGATCTCTGTGAATATGAAGCCAGCCTGGTCTACAGAGTGAGTTCCAGGAAAACAACCAGGACTTCAGAGAAAAGTCTCAAGAAACAAACAAACAAAAGACAAAAACAAAATCCTAGATTTTTGCTAGGTTTTGGGCCAGCAAGGTGGCCAAGTAAAAGTGCTTACCACAAGCAAGCCTGACAACCTGAGTTTGATCTCCAGAAGCCACAGTAGAATTGATTCTGGAAAGTCCCTCTGACCTCTGACCTCCACTGGTGCACCACATTAAATGAATATACTAATAGTGAACATTTAAAACCCTGACTTTTGTTTTATGTGTTGAAACAGATCTCACTACGTAGAACAAGTTGTCCTCAAATTTGTGATTTTGTTGCCTTAGCTCCTTAGTGCTTGATCGTGAGTCCAGTCCCTTGGGTTGTTCTCAGCTTCCTTCTCTTGGCCTGCTTTCCTGATTTATTGTGCACAGACACCCCCCCCCCCCAGTCCTTGATAGAGCAGGCCCAGTCTGGGCATTCACACCCCCTCTCGCCCCCCTCCCCACACCGACAACTCTCCCAGTCCTTGATAGAGCAGGCCCAGTCTGGGCATTCAATTCCCAGCATGCAGACTCCTGATGTTCTCTTTATTGTCCGCCATCAGAGTGGTAAGGGCAGGGAAGGCTGCCCTCACCCCATCCTCAGCTGGCTACATTTTCCATGGCCTAGGCTCTTTCTCCTGAGTCCACTGCAGCCGCAAGGTTTCACCTAGAGAAAGAGGTGGGGCTTTCTTGCAGCAGGGTAGCTCGTGTCTGGGTGACCCTCCAATCTCCAGAACCTACCCACTCAACCCCAGTGCCTCCCTGGTCAGTGCAAGTACCCCTTGCCTCTGCCCAGGCTCACGTCTGCGCCTGTTCCAGCTTGGAGGGTTCTGGTTACTTCCATGTTCCTTTTCTGAGCTCCCTGGGCTTCAGCATCTCAGCCCCTTAGCCCAAACAGCTCGCCATGCCACCTGAGACTTACTGCCTCTGGAGGACACAGTACGAACTAGAGAGGGATGGAGTGGCAGAGAGGAGCAGCTTATGCTAGGTTGGAGGGATTCTCGATCCCTCTGAGCATCCTGGTGTCTGCTCTCTGTAGTGTAGGCATTAGACTCCAGGACGGTTAGGTCCTCTTTTACTGCCTGTTGCTGAGCACTGGCCTAATACGATTGGCAGCCTGGGAGCTTGGCCTAGGGAGATGGTGTGCTCTCACCAAGTTGCAATAGTGTCATGGTTATGTCCAGAGAGCCCTAAATAGTTTTGTCATACCCAAAAGGGCCTCTGATAGGACCGGAAGCCTTTGGGATTCTCAGTAGCCCAGGTCAGACTGAAGGACCCGGAAGTAACATGAGTTGAGGGCTGGGACACCTAGCAAGCTGTGGTTCTGTCTGTCCTTCCACCCCAGGCTGCCCCTCCCAGCTCTCACTGTTCTGTCCTTCATCTTCTATGTCTTCTCCGATCTCGGGGTGGGAACAGGACCTCAGGTATCTTCCTTTACTGTAATACTCCTTGCGCTGTAGATCAGTCTGCTCCCTCATAGTAGAGTCTGAAGCGGAGGGGAACTGGTTTCTGTAAGTAGCAGAATCTGGAAAATCATCCCAGACAGTCTGAGCCTGTGGCTATCTGAAAAATCATCACAGTCTGAGTCTGTGGCTATCTGCTGAGCCTATGAATCCTAGGTGTACGTGGGGGCCACTGCCGAATGGGAGAGATTTGAGTCCCAAGTTCTCATCTACCATCCCTCCCCCATCTCAGAAAGCATCCAGTGATTCTGCATTCCCCGGCAGTTCTCTCAAACTGCCTGTCATCTTTGGAGGCCACCCTGAGTGGAGACTCAGCTCCAGCTGTCCCCTTCCCTCCCTGGAGTCACCTCCAACTAGGAGGTGTAAGCCAGTGCTCTGCAGAGCTCGGTGGAGAAGCAAAGAGCAGAGCCAAAGAGAACAGTCTGGAAAGAGCTCAGCACAAGGAGACCTGGGCTCCGGGACAGCCGTGGCCTACAGTGTCTTCAGTCCCCTAAAGCCCCGTCACTAACCATTGGCGTCTAGGGTACGGCTGTCAGTCGCCAGGACAGTCTCGTTTTTGACTCCTGTGGCCAGTCTTCCTGCCCAGCCTTTGTCCACAGGCCTGGGCTTCATGTCCGTCGTCACACTTTGATTACTACTGCTGATGCTGGCACTAGCCCCGGGGCTGTCGTCCTCGTTAGCCAAGAGCAGGCTCTTCGGGGTCTTCAGGTACTTCCCTTCACTGTAGTGTATCTTTCGGTGCTTGTCAAAATCACTGGAGTCTGTGGGCCAGTGTAAAAGCATGGCTGTCCCTCCAGGCTTTCCCAGAACGGTCACTCCCCCCCCCTTTCCATCAAGGCCCACCCCACATCTCACATACATGTCTTGGCAAAGTTGTCTGGAGTCCTTGAGCTTTTGTTGTCTCCATACTGGAGGACCTTGGGAAGGAAATTGTCCATTGTGGCAAACCTGAAGGGGAGGGAGACTAGTTGGGGGTACAGAAGGGAGAAAACAATGGGGGCAGGTCATGGGTGGGGCCAAGCTGGTGATTCCCCAGATCAGTTTTGGTTATGCCTGAGGGGGACTGTAGTGTCTACCACTTCAGGGGCCACAGAACAAAAGCTACCCGAGACTGGGTTCAGAGGTATGGGGCTGAGGGCACAGCTTCCTACGGGGACTCTCACCTCTCTGCCAGGGACTCAGGAGTCACCTTGAGAGAAGACCCAGCAGACAGGTCCTCCTCATCCTGCAGCCTGCAGAGGAGGAGGAAGCAGTGATAGAACCTGAGGCCTCTCTGCCTCTTCCTCATATTCCCTTGTTAGGAGTCTAGGCTGCAAGGCCAGGGATGCGGGCTTGGCACCTGTGGTAGGGGGTGCTGGGCTCATCTGCCTTCATAAAGCCATAGTCTTTGTCAGCAGGATGGTAGGTAGCCAAGATGTTCATCTCATCCCAGCGCTGAGACTTCCTAAGGTGAGGGAAGGACACAGCAAAGGAGGAAGCTCTTCTGGTGACCCTCTCTTAACACAAGGTTCTTCATTCTTCCAGGCATTCAAGAAACTCTTCTTACATTCCCTTATAGAGGCTAGGATTGGAGGCAGATGCCCAGTGGTAATCACAGTGTGGTGTGGCCAGGCTTTCTGGGACGCCCGCCGCCCTCCCCGAGTCTTGAAAATCTCAGATTTCCCATCCAACTGCTCTCACCTACAGTCCCCCACCACGGTCTCAGGACTCCGCCCCTTTTTTTCTCGGCTTCCGCCCAGGGTGCCCTGAACTCCTCCCTCCTATCTCGGGTTTGCTGGCTGTCGGCCTTACTTCTCCGCACTGGCGGTTTTCTTCATCAAGATGGAACTGCTGTTTTTTAGGATGCTCCGGGGCCGCTCCTCATACTTTTGAGAGTGCAACAAAGTTGACCCGGAGTGTGAACTACTCTCCGAGCTGTACACTTTAGCCTCCCCCCGGCCCAGGGGTGGACGCCCTAGTTGCACCAGTTCCAGTGCCAGGGAATTTGCTGGGCCCAAGGCTACAGCCTGCAACCTCCGCGAGATGCGGAATGGGTCCGGAACTGAGGGTCACCACCCCTTCAGAGGGCCGGATTGGACCAGGACTGCGAATTACAGTGCCCCCGGAATGCAAAAGGGGGCCAGAACCGCGAAACAAGGCTACTCCGGAGGGCAGTCCGGTGTCTGTTTGTATACCTCTGACACCTCCAGGTACTGCCCTAGGAACCCCACGAGGGGATTCCGCACTGAGGCCGCTAACTGATGCGAGAGACTCCGGCTTCTCCATGGCTCAACTCGGTAGCCACTTCAATTACTCTGCCCTGCCTCCCAGCTCCACATAGCCCCGCCCCTCGGCCCTGCCCCCACCGCGGTGGGCGGGGGGCGCTGGGGGCTCAGGGTCAGACTGGACCTTCTCCGCCTGCGCTCCCTGGCGCTGGAGCAGGTGAAAACAAGACTATATACAGACTTCAGCCTGGCAGCCGCTTCGCACGCCCTTCCCTAATTGTCACACCCAAAGACTTTCTTTGTCTCTGTAATTTGTTCCCGCCCTCCTCCATCACCGCCCTTCTGAGAATCAACCAATCACAGTCAAGGGGCCTGGCCAGGGACGAGAAGCCTTGTGACGTCATAGCCCTCTAGCCCTCCAACCTCAGCGAGATCCTGAGTACAGTTGGGGTTAATAGCTCCCAGGTAATCTCTTGGAGCTATCAACTCTGTTGCTTGAGATTACTTGTCGTGGTGATTCTAAGGCTCTTCATTAGTAAGTTTAAAATCTGAGGGTTTCAATGAATCGCAGCTCAAGTTGGCCTTGAACTGTCCGCAGGCTCCCCCCACAGTCAGCTCGCTGAGCTTCAGGAGCTGTGATGCGCAGTGTGTGGGGTGGGGGCGACGAGAGGCGGCGGACGGGGACAAGAGGTGTGATGCGTGGATGGATTGCGACATTTCCGGTCTCGGTATTACGGAGGATTGAGACTTGGATTTGTAAAACTGCCCTTTCTCTGTCCCAGAGACAACGTTTATATAGCTTTAAAGCGTGCAGCGTGAAGGGAAGCCACCACTCCTTGTGTTAAAGCGAATACTTTATTACATCCGACAAGGGTTGGGTCCTCACCGCCGAGCGATGTCGCAAAGTATTTGGGCGCTAGCACGCCTTCGTCGCAAATACGCCTGCGGCGGGCGTTTCTTCCATTCACTGTCGCAAAAGCCACCCGAATGCTCCAGCCTCTCCTAGTCGCCCTCATCCCGCTGTGCCGTAAAGCAAGTCCCTCCGACCCCGTCGTCCTTCCGTTCCCCTCGCGATAGACCTTAGCTCCGGATGCTTCAGTGCGGGCAGTGCCGTAAAGCGTATCTGGCCCCAGCCCCCGGCCGTATTCCCCCAGGGCGTCTGTCCGCCGCGGTTGCCACGGTGCCGCCAAGCGCGGCTGTCGCGCGGCCGCGGTATCTGCGGCGATGGCGGCGGGGTCGGGTGGGAGTGGGGGCTCTGGGGCAGGCCCCGGGCCAGGGCCGGGGCCAGGCGGGGGTGGGGGCCCTGGCGGCAGCGGACCAGGACTGGGGTCCAGCGGGGGTCTCGGCAGTGGCGGGGAGCTGCACCCGCGCACTGGGCGCTTGGTAAGCCTGTCGGCCTGTGGGCGCACAGCGCGGAGGCAGCAGCCGGGCCAAGAGTTTAACCACGGGTTGGTGCTGAGCCGAGAACCCTTGCGCGACGGACGAGTCTTCACTGTCCGCATCGACCGCAAGGTGCAAAGCTGGGGCCGCGGGATCGAGGTGGAGGGTGGTGGAGCGGACAAGAGGGAGAAGAGGTAGAACTGCCAGAAAGTCTGTATGTCCAGCCAAGTCTCCAGGTACCGACAGCGAACCGACAGACCGTAGTGCATCCGAGAACAGAAAGAAAAAGAACACGAAGCAGACGCATTCATTCTGAAGGAGAATGAGTTTCCTCAGGACCCAGAAGCAGGACAGGGATAGATACCAAGTCCAGTTACTAGAATGGCTAGTGAACAGGTCTAGCACAATACTCGGGGATGGAAATAGATGCCCGAGATGTGACGGAGAGAGTAGAGAAATAGTAAAAAAACACAGACTGTTGAAGGACAAACGCCCAAAGCCAGAAAGATAGATGAAGAGACATGGGGAAAGGGAAGTGTGTGCGACTTGCACAGCTCAGAGAAAGAATTTGGGAAAAGAGCGAATCTGGGTGGAGTTTTACTAGAGGAATGGGTTTGGGAATAAGAGTGATTTAGGAGAGCAAGATATATGGATCTAGGAAGCCTGTAACTGAGGTTGAAACCAGGGTGTTTAGCCAGCTTGCTCAGTGGGTAAAGGATGAGGTGTAAACACTGGGCAGCGGTACAGCACACCGTTGCTACAGGAGAGCAGGTCAGGACAGTTATGGAGCAAGGTCCAGAAAGTTATTGTGAGTCTGTCTGTGGTCTCAGAGGTCAGGATGAGGGGACAGTGCCCTATGGAACATAGCTTTTGGTGGTGGGATTCCATGGTGATACTCTGTCCGCCACTCTCTCATAGGTCAACTCCTGGAGTGGCTCCATTGAAATTGGAGTGACAGCTCTGGACCCCGGTGTGCTGGACTTCCCAAGCAGTGCCACTGGGCTGAAGGGGGGCTCCTGGGTAGTATCAGGCTGCTCAGTGCTGAGGGACGGGCGCTCTGTGTTGGAGGAATACGGCCAGGACCTGGACCAGCTTGTCGAAGGGGACCGTGTGGGTGTGGAACGCACAGCCTCTGGGGAGCTCCGGCTCTGGGTGAACGGGCGGGATTGTGGTGTGGCTGCCACAGGCCTGCCTGCTCGAGTCTGGGCTGTTGTGGACCTTTATGGCAAGTGCACCCAGATCACTGTGTTGCCCCCAGAACCAGGCGTCAGCCCTCCTACTCCTATCCCTACACCGCCCGTTGAGCCCTTAGCCCCTCCAGAAGATTCTGCCTTGTCGGAACAGGGGACCTCTGTGGATGAAGGTGAGAACACAGCTTCGGGGAAGCATGAGGTGTGGCTGAAGAAATGGGGCAAAAGTGGTCAGTCGCAAGCCAGCTGGGGGAGGGGCAGGGCCATTGAGCCAGAGCCTGATGTAGGGAAACATAGGGGTGAGAAGAGATGGTCTCCTGACTGTGGGCCCTGAAGCAAAGGCTGAACCCTTATTCCCCTCCCATCCCACCTGGCCCCTAGCCTTCATGGTGTCCCCAGCGCAGGCCCGGCCGGAGACGTTTCCTAACAGCCTTGACTCGCATAATGGTGAGGGCTTCGGGGAAGCCCTGGGAAGGGGCATGGGTAGTGAGGTGGTTAAGGGAGGGACTTCAAGAGATGGGTAGGGAGAAGAGGGTCCCAAGCTATGGAGAGAGGATAGAGCCTCACCTTGGCCTCCTTTTTCCATCTTGCTGCTGTAGACTTTGCCAGCATGGAGCTCTCCGAGGTAGTGAGCAATGCCATTCTGTCTGCCTACAATGGAGGCCTCCTTAATGTGAACCTGAGCTCCCCACCGTCAGGGGATGGATTAGCATCCAGTGGTCCTGCCACTTCTCCCAACCTCACTTCCAACGATGCCCTGCTCTTTCACGAGAAGTGTGGGACCCTCATCAAACTCAGCAACAATAATAAGACAGCCGAGCGCCGGAGGCCCCTGGATGAATTCAACAATGGGGTTGTCATGACCAACCGCCCACTTCGGGATAATGAGATGTTTGAGGTATGTAAAATCCAAAGATTGGGAGCTAAATGGTAGGGGTTGCTCCTTGATGCCAGGATGGTGATGACTGGTGAAGAACCAAGTTGTCTTCTGTTATTTTCTATTCCTGTCTGTTCTCACTCGACCCCAGATCCGTATTGACAAACTTGTAGACAAGTGGTCAGGCTCCATCGAGATTGGTGTCACTACCCACAATCCCAACAGCCTGGAGTACCCAGCCACCATGACCAACCTCCAGTCAGGTACCAGCTGTGGGGAGGGACACAGGTTGTGGGTTGACGAGGGCAAGACGACCTGTTCCCTAAGTGGGTGTCTCTCTACCAGGTACCATCATGATGAGTGGCTGTGGGATCCTGACCAATGGCAAGGGTACTCGCCGGGAGTACTGTGAATTCAGTCTGGATGAGCTGCAGGTGATTGTGGTGCTCAGTAGTCTGAACCAGTCCAGGGAAACTAGGGTACCAGGTAGTGTTGTCTGAAACACAGACAAGCCCCTTTTTCTCCACTTGAGGCTTCTGAGAAGAGAGGGTTGTCTAACAGGCTCTAAAAATTATTAGTAGCACTTTTTTTTTCTGTTGGTGCTGGGAATGGAACTTAGGACCTTGGACGTGTTTGACAAGTGCTCTACCACTGAGTTACATCTCTAGCCCTTATAGCGCTTAAAGCGATTGAGGTTTTAGAGAGTGGGGGGGGGATGTTTAGTGGGGTTTAACTCAATACCTGCTTTACATTGGGCATTTGGGAAATGTGTCTGGAAAGCAGAGACCCAAGCCCTGCCCCAGAGCGGTCTTATGTGAATTTCTTCAGTAGGTGGTCTCCTGTGGAATGGGGTGGTAGAAAGTGCCCAGGACTGCTGGTACCTGAGCCTGAGTGTAGCTGGATTCCAGACTAGGGACTTTCTTCTTTGACTAGGAGGGTGACCATATTGGCCTCACGAGGAAGTCCAACTCCGCCCTGCACTTCTTCATTAACGGCATTGATCAGGGTAAGGTGACAGACAAGAAAGACTGCTGGCCCAGCCGGGGCCATCGTGGGCTGTACCTGATCCTCCTCTGTGATACTTGCTCTTCTTATATTTGATTCTTCCATTCTCTCTGCCCCAGGTGTGGCTACCCCATTGACACCACCAGTGGTGTATGGCGTAGTCGACTTGTACGGGATGGCCGTGAAAGTGACCATCGTCCATAAGAATAACCACAGTGACCGTCTCCGCCGGAACAATGCCATCCTGAGGGCTCTGTCCCCTGAGGGTGCTCTCCGCCGTGCTGCCCCTGCTGCCCAGGCAGAACCTGAACGCCTGCTCTTCCATCCAAACTGTGGACAAAAGGCAGCCATCACCCACGAGGGACGCACTGCCCTGAGGCCCCAGTATGACCTGTGGGGTGGGGAGAGACCCTCAAAGGGGGCCCAAATAGGGTGTGGGAGCAGTGAGGTGGGGACATGGGAGACTGTGTCTGATGTGGGAATTCCTGGACAGAAAGGTGGAGACTTCCAGGAGCAAGAGGTCTGGTTGGTTGTCTTCTAACTGGGCGTTGGACAAGTATTGTTGGTTTAAACCTCGGCGCACTCAGTGAGTGTGTTGAGATCTGAGTCCCCACTTGCTGTGTCCTCAGTGCCACTGATGACTTCAATCATGGCGTGGTACTGAGCAGCAGAGCCCTCCGGGATGGAGAGGTATTCCAGGTGCGCATTGACAAGATGGTGGACAAGTGGGCTGGCTCCATTGAGATTGGTGTCACAACCCACAACCCTGCCTACCTCCAGCTGCCCTCTACTATGACCAATTTACGCTCTGGTGAGATCCCATGGAGGGCAGCACTGCCTTAGGGCCC